ATACACAAGTTTTAGACTGTTAGAACATCTACAATGTCTTGTGGCTCGTCACTTTTCACCAAAAATATTCGAGCAGCATCATAGCGTAATATATGCAAAAAAGTCATATTTGTGACAGAATTGTTTAACTTTTGTTAGATAAGTGTGATAAGTCTCTATGTGTGAAGTTTTCAGAGTAAGGCGAGACGATTAAGCGGAGAAATCCCGATACGATTTGGAGAAATGCTTCATACTGTGGTTTGGCTTTCAAATTAGTGTCATGTCCTTTGTATATTTATTTGCGAAATTTCGTAAATATTTCAATTTGCTTCTTCACGAGAAGAAGCAACCTAAATAAAATATTAATATAGATCCTATTAAGCTCTTTTCTTAACTCTTATGATTAAAAAGTAAAGAGAATGTCATTCAATACTTTTATTTTAATAGCATGTTTTGCTGTTAATTAATTTATAATTTTTTTATTAAACTTGCAGAAATATCTTTTAAATTTATTTGTAAAGAATCGCGGTAAGTTTTGCGCAGACATGTAACACTGAATACAAATGCATACAAATTTCTTATCATTTTATTGAACAATATTAATGTTAACTAAAAAGAAAGTTAATTTTTTACTGTATAATAATTACCATAGCACATGAAGACACATATCATACTTCCGATAAATGACTAATGTTCTGCGATAAACGTAACTCAATACGCAAACTATTGACATGATTTATTTGCGATAAAATATGACAAACTGTAAAATTTCGTGATTTTATAATTGCATATAAAAAATATTTTTCAATTTTTCCTCTCTCAGTACAAAAATGATTGTTTCATAGTTTATTTACATTCAATTAGAAGCGTGAGCATTTATAACAGAGAGATCGACAAAATGGGACTAACGTTAAAAGCTAACGTTAAAAACAAAATATACAAGAAGAGAATTTTATAGTAAAAGTCACTATAAAACCTCTTTGTAACTGAGTATTTTTGCAATTGTTTTCAACAATTAATTTTCATATAATTATAATTATTTGATCAGAAAGCGCGCGTATATAGCACACAAAAAGGCCTCATATTATCACACGAATAAGCGCTCTTACGTTTATAGTTCTCAGTCATTGGGTAACGTTACGCGGCGAATAACGTGCCTGTTGCACCGAAAAAGTTATTATATTTATATAAATGATAAAAAAAACAAACTTTTTATTAAGAATGTTATATCTTTAACTAAATATCTAGAAAAAAATAAATATGTAAGCTTCGTAAATTAATGCCTGTAGAAAAGTTCCTTGAAAAACCTATTTAAATGTTACAATTTAAATGTTACAATATGCACATAGTGCTTTTTTACAATCGGTACAGTACGCTGTTGATAATGAAACATTTATACGTTGTCAAATCCATTGCATTTTCCTTGCCAATGGTTGTCGAGTAACCTAGTGTGCAAAACAGATCGATACGCTCTTCAGTGAACACCGTTCGGAGGTTGCTGAAAGTTCGTGCAAGGAAAAGGCAGTGAACACCGAAATCTTTTCCTCCCCTAACATACCGCGATGCCAGTAAGCGAATTATTACATTTCTTAAATACAAAACTTATATAATCAAATTATATTGAGCGAGAATGAGGAGGAAGTGAAGTTAGGTTAGGTTAGGAGGCAGGTTAGTAGAAAAGTAGAGGTGTATGCCTGTGAGTGTGCGTTTGCGCGTGTGCATAAAAGAAAGAGAAAGAGAGAGAGAGAGAGAGAAGTAGGAAAACAGATAGAAAAAATAAAATATCAATATAAATCCTTAAAACAGGCTTCTTTAATTCGTGCAATTAAAAAAGTAAAAAGAACTTTTTACAGTACTTTCATTTTTACGTATAACGTATTTTATTGTTACACCGTATTTTATTAAAAAAAATTTGAAGTGTAATAAATACTTCTTAAATTTGCGCAAAATATTGTAATGAAGTTAATTTTTTATCATGTGTGATACTTTCTAAAGCTCCTACACTGTTAAATCCGTAGTGTCAAATTATACTCAATTTGAGTTATTTTTAACCATTCCTATAAGTCGCCACTGCTCCTACTAAATATGTCGTTAATTTAACTAATGTAATGGAGTTAAATAATTTAACTTAAGAAATGTATTAAATTTGATTAAAATTTAGTTTATTTTTTATTGTGCATACGTTAATGTAACCTTTGTTTTAGTAAAAAATGACTTAATATTGTTTTAAATGGGTTAATTAGATGTGGTTGTTTTTTTAAACACATATTTTGTGTTAAAATAGTAAATTTTGACACACATGATAGTTAAAAATAACTAAATATTATTTAACTCAAGAAATTGGTTTAAATTTGACCCTCCAATATTTAACAGTGTAGGGGCATGTCACTAACCAATGTTATGCAAATGCATCTCATTACCCATAATGACGTTATTATGAATAGCTCGTTGTCTGGTCTGGTATCTCTTCAGTAGCACACGACGTGGCTTAAGGTTATAATTACACATAGAAAATATTTCTTAGACTATTTTTATTCTTTAGATATAAGACCGATCGTATTCCTTCAATTATATGCATTCTAAAAAGAACAGGACTATTTGTTTTTATAACGAATAAATCGACGGAATGACACTACATGACGTTGGAAAATCAAAAAGAGATATAGTTTAAGCTTAAAAAATACACATTTCTTTCTAAAAGTTAATTGGTTTCCCGCTTCTAATCCGTTGCGAAAAAATACCTGTAGAGCGTTTCACTATACATACGTTCATGTATAGATCATAAAACTCGAGTAAGTCATAGAGTGGTAAATTGATTCTACCGATTGATCATTGTTCTTGACTTCATACCCCAGATAGGAGTGTCACTGATCGAATGGAAAGCTGAATACGTCGCTTGAATTTAAAGTTACTCCTCGCGCTCCGAAACTCAATTGAAGTTCCGAAGCATGCGAGAGGCTCGAGAGCGGCGAACGATGCGTGGCTCCTTAAATAAATCATCGTGATGGTAAATGATTGCAGGACACGCAGCATAGTTTCGCGATCGACTATCGCGACAATCAATTTCTGCTGGATGGGATGCCCTTCCGCTATGTTTCCGGCAGTTTCCATTACTTTCGCGCTCCTAGACATTACTGGAGGGACCGTCTAAGAGCAATGAGGGCCGCGGGACTTAACGCTGTCTCCACGTAAGTCGACTTTCCACACGCAAAAAACTCTCGGTTGATGCAACCGAATGGGAACCAACTGAAAATTAAGTGATCAGAAGCGATATCTCTGTTAGGAAAACTAATATTTCGGTTGTCGCAACCGAAAATATTCGTCTGAACATTCAGCGATATTAGAATTCGGTTGAGGCAACTGAGGACAATTAACTATACAGAAACCTCATAAAGGAATTTTTCTGTTCCTATAGCCGAGTTTTCATCTAATTTCTGAGCAACTGAAAGATTAGTTCAACAGAATTTTTTTTCCGTGCATAAAAACAATTATCAAGTTATCACTCAGATATACTAAAATTTATCATTAATTTCGTTTTTATTTCACGATATTATCGATTTTATCGATATTTTTGATAATATCGTGCCACATATCAAGTTTTTTGTTGCTCGGGTATCTAGATCTATCTGGATCTATCATATTTTTTATGTAACAATATCTACTTGACAGAACTATTTGTTATCTACTTGATTATTACTAAACATTGATTATTATTAGACAGAACTATTTGTTAAATGAGAAATAGTATCTGAATAACAGTTGCTGCATTTGTTGCTTTATTTCCGCACGCAGTTACGTCGAATGGAGTCTTCACGAGCCAGAACGAGACCAGTTTAATTGGTCCGGTGACGCGGATATAGTAGAATTCTTAAATATCGCTCAACAAGAAGACTTGCTCGTATTATTGCGACCCGGTCCGTACATCTGCGCGGAAAGAGACATGGTGAATATATACATTGTTTATATGCGGTGTAAACAGCGGCGTAGAATGAAGACGATAGCTGCTTTTACATCCCGAGGCGATCCCCTTTCCGTTACGAAGTTTAGCTTACCAAAGAGATAAGCACAAAGAGAGTTTTGTTTCTCTCTCATCCTGATATCTCACGAGACTCTTGTCAGGTTGACGTCTCGTTTTATTTCGTCGGAAATGTCGGGGTTCGCGCTCGGACAAGCGCTTGCTCTGCCTTAACTACTGAGCGAAAGCGAAAGCTGCTAATGCAATTATAAATCTACGATCTCCTTGTGTATTTGGCTACAGGGTGGTTTGCCGTATTGGCTGCTTCGAGATACGCCGGATATGAAATTGCGTACGAAAGATGCATGTAAGATACACTTCATTTTACATCCACGATAATAGAGAGAGAGAGAGAGAAATAAGGATGTCTTTACTCCCTGCAACAACCAACTCCTCTCATTGTACCGCTTGTTATTGTCCAGACAAATTGATGATAGAATAATGACGATATGTCGTGACGTTAGAGTTGCGATCAAACTCAATTTTAGCAACTTACCAGTTGTCCGGTTCTTGCAGATTTTCTGGGGAACGCTACGTCTTTTTTAACTAAATTATTTGATAAAATACAACCATTCCTGAGGGGAAACGGAGGACCCATAATCATGGTTCAGGTAATATTATATAAATAAGAAATGCAGTTAAAGAATACTTATTGATGCTCACTTAGCATCTCAAAGGTTATCTCTCGAGATGACGATTGCGTATTCTGTAATGATATATCGTCCGAATTATCATTCTCTGTTGATTGTGATAATAGTAATGAGCTCAGCTCCAATTAATCGCGTAGTAAGAAAATGACGTTCATCACATCGCCCGATACTGACTCGTGCACATATTATGCAATTACGTTTACAATTACGGATAAGAGAATTATCAAGAGAATACTCTCCTGAAATCAAAAACTCGGAAAAGTTCAAGATTAACATAAACGCGTAATTAACACCTCATTGATCTCATCGATAATCTCATCGATATCGCCGGATGTTTCCAATTGAGATTTAATACATTTATTACCTTTAACCCTTTGTTTGGTAGACTCAAAAAATTTAAAAAAATTTTTTTAGTAGTTAAATAAAATAAATAATGTTTTCTGAATGCAGTTTATTAATTAATTAATTATTTTTGGCGTGTTTAAGGCCAGGGAGGACTTGCCAGAGTTTACTTTTTTTCTTCTCTTCCCGTCGCTTAATATTTCTTTTGATATAACTCTTGGGGAGACCACACACAGATTCCGATTCAACTCTTATTGTTTCAGTACCTGCCTCTGCTAACTTATCCGCCATTTCATTTCCACGTACTCCCGCATGTCCTGATACCCATCATAAAGGAATCTTGTTACTCTTCGCCAGTTGCCTAAGGTTAATAAGATAGCCATATCAACTTCGACTCGCAGGTGTGTAACCTTAGAGTCTTTAAAACTGTAAGAAAGTAAATGATCATGTTAGTATCTGAGGACATTTCAATTGCACAGTTGGGTCCGAAGATATCCATTCTTATGTCTTCATTTCCAAGTTTGAACCATCCATGTATCATTAAAATGGACCTCCTTGAAGATGAGGCTTCTTTTATTCCACTTCTCTGTCGTCGGAAAATGCATATCGAAGAGTTGCTCAAAATTAGGCTGTGCCGACATTTCATCTATCGGACAGTTTATACGCCGCTCTGGTAAAAGGAATTTTAGAATCTTCAAGTGTCCTTTGAGGTTCTTCAGTTTATATTTGTAATTTTTACATAAAGAAATTACACTAATCAATGCCACTTTCCTTAAATACGATGTAACGATGTCAGGTTGATGTCAAGTATAGTGAGATCCGGGTATTTTTTTGTAGATGATACCCACCTTCATCCCTTCCAGAGTCTGCTCTAGGTCTGTCAATGACAATCCCCTACGGTGCCTAGTTATCGCTAGGAAAATCTCTTCTTCTTTTTCTTTGTGGAAAAACTTATAATCATGATGTTGATCCATTCAACTCAATGCACAAATGACCAAATCATTAAACCCCCTCCTATCCATCTGCTGGATGCATCTGATGGGCTACCAACCACAGTGATCTGAATGTAGTTATATCGTTTTCAAAATATCATTTTGAAGATATATTTTTTCAACGATTTTTGTCATCTGGTAGCAAAACTTAAAACTACTGAGAGACTGACAAACAGAGCAACAGTGCTAAATAAATGCATATATCGTTTTTGCTCATGAGAAATCGATGTTGCTTGCGAGCAACATTACCGCAACAAAGGGTTAAATTGAAACGTAAATGTATTATCACATACATCTGACTTTGATCTCTAATAGGGCTAGTGTATACGACACTGATAATGATACGTGTTAATCACGGAAATATGCAAATAAACAGACGTTCTTCCTACGTTAACAGGTGGAAAATGAATATGGAAGCTTCAACGCTTGTGACAAGGAATACTTGGATATATTGAAGAATATTTTTCTCGACAAGATTCAAAATAAGGCACTTTTGTACACGACCGACGGTACGTCCGAGTCAATGCTTCGTTGCGGTTCTATACCGGGAGTATACGCCACCGTTGACTTCGGATCAGATATCAATGTGACCAAAGCTTTCGAGTCTATGCGAGCCATACAACCACAAGTAAGTGACACGAAGATACAAATAAACAGGAAAGCTGTTTGTATACGAAGAAATGTTTACAGTAAAAATTATTATAGAGTTCTGCAACAAAAGTTTAGATTACCTGAAAATCGTGCTTGTCTTTTCACAATTTTTTTATGATAAACTGAATTAATATGCGAAAGTATTAGGACCTTGAATAAGTTCTCGCTGATTTTTCGTGAAAATTAATGCTTTATTTAAAAAAAGTCGTAAAAAACATGTCACTGAAAGTATTGTCCATCGCTAGCCACTACTTTTTTCCATCTTTCTGGCAGCATTTGAATTCCACGTCGGAAAAACGACACGTCTTTTGAGGTTATCCAAGAGTCGACCCATTTTTTGGCATCTTCATAAGAATGAAAGTGCTGCTCAGCCAGGCTATGTGTCATCAATCAGAACGAGTGATAATCGGAAGGGACAATATCTGGTGAATACGGCGGGTGGGGTAGGACTTCCCATTTAAGCGTTTCCAAGTAGGTTTTCACCGGTTGTACAACATGTGGCCGAGCGTTGTCATGTTGCAAAATCACTTTGTCGTGTCTCTACTCGTATAGCGGCCGTTTCTCCTTCAATGCTCGGCTCAAACGCATCAATTGTAGTCGATAGCGATCTCCCGTGATGGTTTCGTTCGGTTTGAGCAGCTCATAATAAACTACACCCAGCTGATCCCACCAAATGCAGAGCAGAAACTTCGAACCATGGATATTCGGCTTTGCCGACGATGTTGATGCATGGCCGGGCTTACCCCACGATCTTCTACGCTTAGGGTTATCGTAGTGTATCTACTTTTTATCGCCAGTCACGATACGATGCAAAAAACCTTTCCTTTTCTGCCGTTGAAGCAGCTGTTCACACGTGAAAAGACGCCATTCGACGTCTCTCGGCTTCAACTCGTACGGTACCCAATATCCTTGCTTTTGAATCATTCTTAATACTTTCAAACGTTTCGAAACTGTTGTGTGATCAACTCTTAATGATTCTGCAAGTTCAGCTAGCGTCTGACATGAGTCTTCATGAAGTAATGCCTCCAATTCTTCGTCTCCAAACTTTTTCGGTGCGCCAGAGCGTTCTTTATCTTCAATATCAAAATCATTTTTTTGAAGCGTCTAAACCAATCTCTGCATGTTATTTCCGACAGAGCATGGTTACCGTAAATCTTAACAAGAATTCTGTGTGCTTCAGCTGCAGATTTTTTTTGAATAAAGTAGTGCAGTAAATTCCCCGCAAATAGTCTTTTTTTGGCACGAAACTCGACATGTTTAACACTATGAAAAAAAAAAGTTGTTTACACTTCGGCGAAATGACATACACTGAATTTCAAGCTTGCTTATAGTACTTCCTTATAGATGCGTTACCATCTTAAACTACACGCACGCAGTTCTAGTAACGCCATATGTTGGAAAACAGCGATAACTTATTCAAGGTCCTGATATTATTTTGACGTGTATTTATGCAACATATAAAGAGAAGAAAAATATAATTTTGATAATCAAATACTCAAAGAGAGGAACATACTAAGAGTGTGCCTTAATTTTTTACCTTTTTGTTTCATATAAATTATTTTACGAACTAAAATTCGAGCATTAAAAAATTCACTATGTTCCTTAGCAAGATCAACTTTACTGACAGTCTATTCCTGCACTATTAGAAAGTACAGTAAAAAATTGAAAAGAATTTCATATTGAAAAAAGCTATAATATTCTCTCCGTGTACTCTTCATAATTAACTCGAGATTCAAGATACCATCGCAAATTGTTTCCCGAATATATCTGAGCACCTTGAGAAATTAACGCACAGGGTCCGCTTGTGAATTCCGAATACTATCCGGGATGGCTAACGCACTGGGGGGAATCCTTTCAAAGGGTGAAGACCAATGCTGTCGTGAAGACGTTGAATGATATGCTCAAGATGGGTGCTTCTGTCAATATATACATGTTCTACGGGGGCACGAATTTCGGTCTCACTTCCGGTTGGTAGATCCCTTCTTCGGCTTGAATCGATTAGCAATGTAAACGAAGTCGCATTTACATATTTGATGATTATTGACAGGTGCTAACGGCGGTGAGAACGAATTTAAGCCACAAATAACTTCTTACGATTACGACGCTCCTTTGACCGAGGCTGGAGATCCGACAGAAAAGTACTTCGCTATAAGAAACGTCATCAGTCAGGTATGTTTTTCGCGATAATGCACGATCATAATCAACACTTTGCCCGTGCAATCGCGAGTATACTGTTTATACAATTGTTATTACAAAAGAAAGATAATGCGAAAATATTTCATTTTGCGCCAGAGATAAAAGTCATCAATTTTTGTTAATTTCAACCTGCTGAATTCAAATGTAACAAGTAAAATGTTTCGTTGGTAACAATTTTAAGGATACATAGCAACGGATTTTTTTATATTTTTCTTCCAAATTAATATTACCTTTATATGTGGCAAATCTTTGCAGAAATATGTCAACACTGCTATGTCAACACTGCTAATATTTTCATGAAGAGACCACCTTCTATTAGAACCATTTCATACCATTTACTTAAAAGTACATCGACCTTGCAATACTGATTAAAGAGTGAAAATCGAGTTATGCCTGTCTCAAAAATTGTTACAATCTAAACTTTTTTATTGTTATTTTCTTGTTTAAAATGTTCGAATTATGCGAAAAATACGCCAAAAATATTTGCAAACAAAAAATGAATAATTGTTGCCCGGTGTTATTGTTGAGATTAAAACATCGATCTTCTGATTGATGTTTTTATCTCAACAAAGATGTTTTGTCGTAGTCAGCGCTAATTCTTCAATAACAGTTGAAATTCTGTCCAAACACATTGTTTAAATATAAATCCAAGTTTAAAATACTATTGAAAAATCAGTCCTGTGTCAATATTCAAATTTCAGTATTTACCAATGCCGGGTATACCTTTTCCAATCGCGTCTCCGAAAGGTAACTATGGTCCAGTATTATTGGAAGCGATATCGGAGCTGTTTGACGACAACAATTTATTCGAGGTAAGTCGGTCGACTGACTACGACCCCAAGACCTTCGAGGCATTGTCCGTGAACCAGGGACTCGTGCTCTACGAGACGAAATTACCGTCCACTATTTCGGACGAATATACTTTAAATGCAACAACGAAAGATAGAGGACTGATATATGTGAACAAGCAACTTTACGGCATCCTGAGTCGCGGAGATAAGAAGTTTACGCTGTCGCTGAAGAAGTCTTATGGAGATCACTTGCGTATTCTGGTGGAAAACCAAGGACGCTTGAATTACGGCAATGAAATCCGAGATCACAAGGTGAGCAATGAAAGTGAAAACTGATGCTGAGGAGGGACAATTATTTGAGGAAAAATCTAGGTCACTGTTTCGCACGGAAGTTTAAGATAGATGTTCGATCGCAATGTTTCCGCGCGACAAACGTGGACATGTACCAGGCGTCGTATGTGCTTTGACGTTATGCAACTAGCTTTATATATGTACAATTTTCAACTTCCCACGAACTTCCCATGAAGTGGAAACTCGCAGGAAATTCTAAATAAGTGTTAAGACACCTGCAACGCCTGTTATATACTTTCCTAAAGTGCGATCAGTGTATTTTTCACTGTAACATTATACTTATAACAGTTGGTTCAGTTATAGATATAGCACTGCAACCGCGCGATAAAAATTAAATTTGTAATAGCATGTAATGAATTTGCGTACTATAGATTGTGTGAAATATTATTTCTAGTTAAGTTTTACTTCTACTAGTCAAGATCAGTGAGATATAAAAGCAGTAAAGTGGGATTTTAATCACTAAAAATCAGTGAATATTTCCTAATACTAGCCTATAAAGTTAAAGATGCAATGAGCATAGGAATTTTTATGGTTTCTAATAAATTTTGATATACTGAATACAAATTCGTTTTTTTTTTTTTATTGAAATGCAAAATTCTGTTATTAGTGCTGTTGTACATTATATATAATTCAAGAAAGTGATGCACAGTCCTTAATTTCATTTTTTCCAATACAAGCACAAACTAGAAGTTTTATTCCATCAAATCCCTAGTTTTCCAAGTCAGTAATTTCGCGGTAAAATATTCCTTTTACTGAATTTTTACAATTAAAAATATTTTTATTGATTCACTTTGTAAGAGAATGATGATTACGTTGTTTCTCAGGGTTTATCGGACGCAAATATCGACGGAGTTCAATTGAAACTATGGAACATGACAGGCTACGCGTTTCCCGATGTGTCTGTTCTTCAGGGCAAAGGGATCATACCAGTAAATAATGGGACTCTGACAAGCGGTCCGGTATTTCTGCGCGGACATTTCACGGTCACAGGACAACCATTGGACACATTCTTGGACACTACCGGCTGGGGAAAAGGGATGGCCTTTGTGAATGGCCACAACCTCGGTAGATATTGGCCGACAGTCGGTCCACAAATCACATTGTATGTGCCAGCTCCATATCTTCGTATGGGAGACAACGAGCTGATTCTACTGGAATTCGAATATGTATCTCTGACGAGAAAAATGAAATTCCAATCTGTGCCAAACTTAGGTTAAGCTGCGTTTCCCGATTTACGCGCACAACCCCGATACCGAGACTGAAAATGAACGTCCAAAGGAAGAATCCCAGTCGATTCGATAATATCATCACTAGAATTACATTTCACATTACGTGAAAGTTAGTTTCATGTTCTTGTATTGTTAAATTTTATTTTTCAAAGATATAACTATAATTGTAGAACTGCAGTAGAGCTTAATTTGCAACCAATATCAGATTGCCTTAGTCTCTGATGAAGCGAACTGAAATGTTCACGGAACGTTGGAAACAAAACGCAGCTACAACCCGGAAGGCAAAGCAAACTGCAATATAATTATTACAACATATCCGTTATATATTTTTATTTCCAAGTTGTGCAGCTGCAACTGAATGCGTTGACTGGGACATATTTGATCAGAGTAGTTTTCGCGCGCCTAAAGAGAGTACGTCGATAGAATATTATCTATAGGATATACAATTGTTCCCGAAATTGTGAAAAACGCAAGCGAAAGGATACGTCATTGTAAAATAAGTCATCTGTCTTACAGCTCGCCATCCAACGCTAATTACACGCTTTATCCTCACGCGTGTTTGAACATAAATGCGGTAATGATGTTACAAGCAAAATAAAAGGTCTAAAAACTCCGAATCGTAGCTGCGTTTTCTTGTTCGACCTGCTGGGGGTTTGTTTACTGCTTCGTCATTTGGATATGCGAGACATAAAAGCGCGAAACGTTCAGAGGGTAGTCCGCGCCGCGAGAATCGATCAGCTTCGATAATACCGCAACGCTACACAGCAAAAATATGCACATTGTCGTCTCATGGTCGATGAAGAACCGATTTATAAAGATCTCGCAAGCCATTCAATGGCTTTAATATCCTCCACGTTGACAAATGAGGGATCAGCACGGCGGGACGTCCGATAGCTCGGTGCCACACGACGAATTATCTCACCTCCGCCGTTCCAAGCGAGTACTACGGACAATAATGAGTACGGTGACAAAGCACTACCGGCCACCCGCCTCGTAAGCTTCATTTACGACCGTGCGTGTTATAGAGTGTATATCTTGAGACCTAATGGACAATTGCTATGTGCAAAATAACACATGATTCCTACAGCGACATATTAGGACCTTAACTTAGTTTCCGCCCAAAAAATACTGAGAAAAAGCATTTATTGTAAAAAATTTATTTAAATTATTTCAATGAAAGTATTTTCCATCACTTTCTACAACTTTTTGCCATCTTTCTGGCAACTGGGCGATACCATCTCGATAAAACGATGTTTGTTTCGAAGCAATCCATTCGTCCACCCATTCTCGCACTTCTTCAACAT